AATATTTAGGAAGCATGGTCTAGCAATGGTGTACAAGTGGACAGAGGGCTTGAGAATAGAGAGACCCAGTTATACTATTGTAAGAGTCTGGTATGTGCTACCAAAGCAATGGTTCTCAACTGCCAATTCATTCATTCATTCATTCATTCATTCACTCAATAGATATTTAATGAATGACTGCCATGGGTCAGGCACTATGCTAGGTATTATAGATAAAATGGTGAACTTGGGGCCAGCCCTGTGGCCAAGTGGTTAAGTTCGTGCACTCAGCTTGGGTGACCTAGGGTTTTGCCGGTTGGGATCCTGGGCACAGACATGGCACCGCTCATCAGGCCATGCTGAGGTGGCGTCCCACATGCCACAACTAGAAGGACCCACAACTAAAAATATACAACTATGTACTGGGAGGCTTTGGGGAGAGAAAGGAAAAGTAAAATCTTTTTAAAAAATGGTGAATTTATCTCATGGAGCTTCACCATCTAACAGATGAAGCAAATATCGAAAAAGTAATTCATAAGAAAATGTAAATTTATAATTTATGAAGGAACCCAGGATATTCGTTTTCTTGTTTTTTAATTGCAGTAAAATTCACACAGTGAAATGCACAGATCTTAAGTATACAAGTATATATATATATGTAACAGCTACCTTATCCAGATATATATAGAACATTTCCATCACCCCAGAAAGTTCCCTCGTGTCCCCTTTCTATTCAGTCCCCACCTCCCCCTAATAGACCACCATGGTTCTGATTTCTATCATCATTACTTTTGCCTATTCTTGAATTTCGTATAAATGGCTTCTTTGGTTCAACAAATGATTTTGAGATTTATCTATGTTGTTGTGTTTAAATGGAGCTCATTTTTAAAAATTGTGTTCCATTGTTTGATCAATGTATTCCATTTTTCTGTTGGTAGACATTTGAGATGTTTCCAGTTTGAACTGTTATGAACATTCATGTCTAAGCTTTTTGTGGACATACATTTTCAATTTCTATTGGGTAAATATGTAGGAGTGGAATTGCTGGGTCATAGGGTAGGAAAGTGTTTAACTTTATAAGAACTGTGGATATTTTAAAAATATATAGATCCATGGTCCTCAGTCCCAAGAATTCTGAGTCAGTTAGTCTGAGGTTCCTAGGCACGTACAGGATGTAGTCTTTAAAACTCCATAGAACCGGTCTAAATTATAGTGGTGGCAGTAGAAAGGAAGTTATTTTGGTTTGGTTTTCTTTTACACCACAAAAACATATAAATGCAAACAATTGCTGGTTTTTTTTTTTTCCTGGTTAGCTGCAAAATAGCTTTCTCTGAACATTCCCCCTGACTTTCTCCTTGTAGTTTCTCTGGTGAAATGCAAAGCTCTGTTTTTTTTTCTGCTCTTGCTTAAAGTGAAATGAAAGCTCAGGGAGCTCCTTGGGGCAGCCCTTAGAATTGCTAAAATGAGTAAACAAGAACGGGCCTTTAGGCAGAAAAGAACTTTGTACTGAATGGCCTGGGTACACTGGTAGGGTTTTCTCTGCTGCTTTTACTTTCTTTCCTTTCTATTCTTCTAACTGGCAGCAAAAAATAATCAGCTGTGTTCTGGCTGCCCACACGACATTAGCCAGCTCCTTCTGAGCATTTAGCATAGTGACAGCTCGAATGGCTGCACATCACTGCAGAAGAGGTCCCCAGTTTCTAGGCAGAGAAAGTGACACATAGGAATAGGAAGGGAGTCACTTAATGGATTAGGGGCTGGCTGAGCTGGGACCAGAACCCAGGTGGCCTGGCTCCCAGCCCGGCTGACCACACTGCTACCCACACAGCCTGGACTGACCCCAAACAAGCAGCCCATTGAGCAATTGCACAAACAACAATGAATGATGGATGGTCAGAGCAAGAAACAGGCACAAAGCAACTGCAACCCCATCACTTCCTGGCCCCTAAATTTCCAGGCAAGCCTGTAAACTGTGGTCACTTAAATGAGTTTGACCAGCAACTTGGCCCAGCTTTCAAATTTGGAAACTTTTTGTGGTCACTGCCAAAAATAAAAGTCTGCCTTGTACTGAGGGTGAAGAGTGCCTTTGAACTCCATACCTGGTCCTAATAAGTCTATGGTAGTGACTAGAAAGACATAGTTAACAGATGGGCATAACCTAGTCCTGGGAGGGCCATGGTGAAACAAGACAAATTTAGACTTTTGATGCTCCTCATCTGTGGATCTGTCCTCCTACCCTAGATTTAGCTAGCAAGGGGTGGGTGTGATCAGCAGAGTTCAATTAGAATCAACTTAGGTAACCAAGTCTCATCATACTGTCCTCCTCAGATTTACCACTGAACAGTAGCCAAAATTTGTAGTCCCCACATGCTTGAAGCCCAGGCCAAGTGGCTCTGCCTGCCAACCTGTATTGTTGGTCCTGGGCATGCCTCATGAAGGCACTCTGACCTGCTTGGCCTTGCAATGGCCCTAGGCCCAGTCCTAAATCTTCACCTCTAAACCTATGGTATCGCCAAGAGATATAACTGTCTATGAAGTTTCCTGTTTCAGGTATCAATTTTCTAGTCTTGAGGTGGATAATTCTAAAATATCTATGCTCCACTCCTCCTGTTTAGAAATGGAGGAGTTCAGGGAGTACTGAGGGGATAGGAAAGTGGACTGTAATATTTGTTTTTTAAATAGGCCTAATGAGCACAATTGAGCCAAAACCATTTTGAATATGCAGACCAGGTGCCACCACGTTAGGAATCTGAATTAAAATTCAGGATTTCTTGGTTCAACAGTGGCTGGCCCCCTTTTGTGTTGGTCATAAAGAGTATTTATTAACTGGCTCTTCTTACTTGAAACAGGCCACATTCTCCTAATATTAATTTATTCATTCAACGAATATGGAAGACTTACTATGTGTCAGGCAAGGCTTATATTTTCACAGCCATAGCTCACTGCAAATCACATAGCACATTTGTGAGTTCTGCCTTATATAATATAGTTGTATGTATTTTACTAAAGTATAAGAACCTTGATGCCTGGAATTCTGTCTTGTTCATTTTTGTGTCCCCAATATCAATGAGCACAGTGCCTTTCACACAGTAGAGACTCCATAAATATTTGTTGAATTATTCTGTAAAGCTGTTAAAAGGTATTACCAAAAAAAAGCACTGCATAACTTTTTTTGATTGTGCTAAGTCTAAAGCAGATATGTCAATAGGGTATCATCATTACGCAAATAAATATTGAGTGTTTATAGAGAAGGGTATGTTCACTTGAGTTAAGGAAGGAGAGTGCATAACTGGGTGGACACTCGTCTGGAAGAAGGATTGTTAATTCTCTTCCGGTCAGTCCGGAATAATTGCCTACAGTAACTAGAATTTCAGTCTTCTCATTCTTAAGTATTTTCATCCCTCTCACCTTTCTAGAATTGCCCTGCCTCTTTCTGCTTCTTCCCAAAGGGCTGTAGCCTACTGACTCTATCTCAAAGTCTCAAGAGTCCACTGTGTACCCCTCCGGCTCTGGTTCAAGAACTCTCCAAACCGGAGACTTTAGGAACACGGGCCAGGAAAACACGGGGTCACGCGCGGGGCAGGCGCCAAACTGGCCGCGGCAAAGGGAGCGGCGCTGAGGGCGGGGCTGCTACGGGCGGGGCGGGGCGGGGCGGGGCGGGAGGAGGCCCGGGGGCGGCTTGGGTGTCACCACCAACCCGCTCCGGCCGGAAACTGGCACTTGTTTCCGGCCGGACGGCCGAAAGCCACTGATCCTGAACCAGCAGCCGGAGTCGGAGTGGCGACCGGGTGTGGAGCAGGCAAAAAGCCACTGGGGCAGGCCAGTCCCGATCAGTCCCATCTGGCTCCAGCTCCTGATCCGGTGCGGAGCAGCAGCCGCGGTCGCAGTCTCCGCCACCGCCTCCGCCTCCATCGTCGTCGGGGGAGGGGCCGGCCGGACCCCGGGGTCACAGCCGAGGAATGAGGAGAGGCGGCCGGGCCCCGAGCTCCGCCCCGGCCTAGGGCCTTGCCCCGGGAGCCGCGAGGGTAACGGAGCCCCCCGCCCTGTCACCTTCACCCGTCTGCTCCCGCTCCTGTCGCCTTTTCAGACTCCCAAACTCTGACCCTCTGCTCTCCACTGTCCCCTTCTCCTTTCTGATTGTATTTCACCGGGAGCCATCGCCTCTCGGCACCCCCTTCTCGCCGTGTTGCTTGCTTCATCCCAACCTTTCCCCGGTTACTCCTCCCCTTCACCTGCGCCCCGCGGCCCCAGCCCCTCGCCCCGGTTCCTGGCCTCCCTTCCTGAGCGGTGCCGGGCAGTTTGGACGGTCCTCCCTGTGAGCTAGACTTTCGGGGAGGGATGGTGGATAGGAGTGCAGGTTGCTACCCTCATAGTAGGATAAAGTTCATTTTAAAGTCTCAGTATAAAGTAAAATGAAAACAAGTTCGTGCTCCCCCATTGATAGCCAAACTGAGGTGCGTCCAGTAATGGAGGAAGGGAGCGAAAAAGAAGTGTGTGTGTGAGTGTGTGAGTGAGTGTGTGATTCTAGGGCAGGCTTATGAACTTTAGAAAAAAAAAAGTTGCCATGAGCCGATGGAAACTTTAGAAGCCGATGATGAGTAAGCCGGGGGCTGCGTGATCTCACTCCTCTTCTCATAATTACTAGGTTAACGGTGTGGCTCCGGTCGGGATGGAATGGGATTTGTTTACTGGGCCGGCGTATTTTTAGCTTGTCGGCTCACAAGGACCAGCGCTCTGAGAGTCACTCTCTCTCTCCCCGCCCCCCGCTCCTACCCCGTCTCTCCCCGCCCGTACCTCCCTGTCTAGGTCACTCCTCCGGGCACAACACAGATATAAAAATTAAGTTGAAAGAAGCTGACTGGTGATATTTTCTATAAGAGATTCTCCTCACACTGTTCAGGGAGTTTTCTTTTCATGAATGCGAATGCAAGAATTAGCAGGACTTTGACTTGTAGTTTCCTTATCTTTTATAAGTATATAAAATGCTTTCTAGAAAATCAGAAGCTGGTAATTTTTCTGTCTTTGGCTTCTCTTACTGTTTGTTTAGATCTTTGAGAAGGCTGGATCCCTGTGTCTTTCAGAACCTATTTCTGAAGTGGGAAAGGACAAAGTAGAGAGAAGAGGTAGTGGTGAGGTTAGTCCAAGAGGGCAGCTAATACTAAATTTGAAAACATTTTCTATACTATATAACTTTAAAAGCAGTCAGAAAATTTCCTTCCTAGTAAATGAGGTTGCATTCTTGATGGGATGGAGAAGACTGCAGGGACTTATGCCGAGTGGCTAGGGAGAATCAGACTTGTAATTAAACATTTGCTGTGCATAATTTACAAATGAATACATTATAGGCAAACAATTATACTCTTTGTCCTCATTGTTTTTCCAAGCAGTTCTTTTAAAGTTTAGTAGCCAACCTGCTGTGCTAGTCTACTGATATTTTGAAGGCTGAACAGAAATGTAAAATAAATGAAATTGATGTTGCTCATCTGGAAGCTGAATACCAGTCTGTTCTAATTTCCACGAGCTGCCCGGCCTGCCTCCGAGCGCCTCCCCAAGTGGCCAGTCACTATGTACTTAGAGATTGCAAATGAATACAAATATTAGCTCATGCTAGGAATAATTGAGAGGGTAAATATGCTGAAAAGATATTCCAAAACTGAAATAGATTATTTTTCTATTTTTTCCATTTTGGATTATCAGCACCTTTCTGCCGATAATTATCCATTAACATGAATAATTTAGAGTTGAACAGATATCCACTTTGGACATTGCGCATTCAAGCAGAAAGGAAAGATGGAAGGAAGATAGTTCCCAAACTATTACCAATTTTTTTTGTTGTTGCCTCGTTTGACTTATCCCTTTCATTTAATGCCAGGCTTCCTTGTGAAAATAAATAAATAAATAAATAAACCTTTTCCAAAGAAAGGGCTGTCTCCTGACTTGTATAAGGCAGGCTGACCAGTAATGAGTGCTGGTTGTTAACTGGACTTTGGTGGAGATATGTCACCCACAACTTGGAAATTTTCCTGAAGCCTTATTTCCTTAGTCTCTTTCTTTTGGGACTCCTATTGAAAAAAAATTTAATTTGGAGGGTAAAATCTAATTTTTAAAAATCACGCACACCCTCCCAGAGTCTGTTGACTATCAGTAATTGTTTTAATTTGTGATGATATTAGTGATGATATCTGGTAAATTCTATTTATATCTGTATTCAACTTTCCCCAGCTGAACTACATATGTTGTTCCAGGGGTGGTGATTGAAGGAACTGACTAAACCTAGGGACAAATGGAGGGCAGCCCAAGAACCCACCACTGTTCCCAGTTCTCAGAAGGCTTTGTTTGGAATTTTGAGATTCAAGATACGTAACCAAGTGACTTATGATGGAATAACTCAGTATTAAAAATAAGTTTTCAGATTGTTACGCGGGCACTGAGTGATGCTTGTTAAAGTTTTAGAGCTCCTGAGTGTCTCAAGCATGCTAAGGATGCTGGCAGAAGACATAGTAAGGGAGCACCTCTCTTCTTGCCCCAAACATTCATCCCATTGACGGAAAAATCTTGAAACAATGCTTTGAAGTGTGACTTCAGCAGCATCTTTCTTATGGGAACTTCAGAGCTGTGGAGTTGAAGACTGTGGAATCTTCTCAACAGCCCCTGATAAATTCAGATAATTAAAATCTGTGTGACTGGAATGTAAATGCAGGGCAGTTTTATCATGAATGCCTGAATTCAGTTGATTTTTTTAATATGGTGGAAGAAGGGAGTTGATTTTTTTTAAGCAAGAAATCCTTGCTGAATACTGAGTGCACGCTCCTGTGAATAAAGCAGTCTCCAAGCTCCAGTGACAGGCTTTTGGGAGGTAGAAAAGATGTAAAGACGGGTATCTTTGCCCTTGGTACAGGCATGGGGCTGAGGAGGTTGGTATATAGATGGGAAGGCAGACTATTTGAAGCTTTAACATTTAGGAAGCAACATATGAAGAAGACCAAGTTTAACTTGCTGCAAATGGAGTATGTAAAGACTAGAAAACTTGAAGTGACAAAGTAGGAATGAGGTAAATTAGGGAAGATTTTTGAGTCAGTAAAATTTGAAAGCAGGGCTGTGAATTAGAATCATAAAGAGGCTTGGACTATGGAGTTGGATGGACTTTGGTTCAAATCTTGGTTCTACTTTTTACTATGTGGCCTTGGACAGTTTACTTATCCATCCTTTTCTATAAAATATGTGTGAGCATTCAAGTAAATGAGTAGTTGTTCTGTGTTAGGAGTAAAAGAAAAGAAAAGATTTCTGGGCAGAAAGTATAGAATGTACTGTGTGCAATGATGGTATGAATGACTAAGCTGTGTTTGTAGGGGGAATAAATGCGAGTGACTGGAGAGAATGTGGGTTGGTCAAGTCATGGGTAGAGCAGGCAAGAGGGTGGAGGGGACTCAGAGGCCAGACTGTTGGGTGTTGATGGAAGGGTCAATAGAGTCATTGTAGGTCCTTGAACAAAGGATGGATTTAATGAGAAGTATTGAGCCCTCTGGTCCAGGAACTTAGGGACAAGGAGTCAGGCAGGCACCGGTACATTGTGACTCTTCTGGACCGTCCTGGCCTAAAGGAGACAGCCAGGAGACATAAGATTCCTTGTAGTTTTTGTATTCACACACCTTACTATGCTGAGCTCTGCTTGTGCCTGTCTCACATTGTACCAACCTGTGGGGAAGTGTCAAGACTGTGACTGGATTCCCTTCAAGAACTTATGGTAAGGACAGTGTCATGTTTTAAGTGCATTTAATTTTCAGTTATCTCTGCTGTAATAGGGAGCACTAGTTTAGGTAATTCAGCATTAATAGAGAAATTTCTTGGTTTGAAAGTGCATTATTTTTAGACCAGATTTATTTTAGTGTTTTCGGGATCATTCTGATGTTGAAATGAATTTGTGTATCTAAGCCTGTATTACCTGATGGTGAGGAGAGTATACTGATGGCAAAGAGCAGTCAATCTTGAATTAAAGATTTTGCCACAGAAATCCATAAAATGAATAATCCATTTAGTGGGTAATTAAGGCTGGACTATACTGAGTATGTTAATGAAGACCAGTTTCTTTTCATTATCTGTGTGGGTCCAGTGTGGCCTCTCAGGCTGTCTGCCTTATGCTGAAGAGTGGTTAGTACATGATGCCTATGTTGCAGCCTGAATGAGCCTTCACTCACGGTATCTGGAGGAATCCTCCTGTGTGATGTTGTATCGTTGAAGATTAAGCTGGCTTTTCAAAGGTCTTGAGATTTGTAGAGGCTCTTCCAGATATCAGCACCACTGAAAAGCTGTCAGATTTTTCCTCCTAAAGTAAAACTTGTTTGAAAATATGGCCAATGGGAAAAAAAAAAGAGGAATGAGGAGAAGTGTCCACATTTAAGAAGTAAACAAACAGAAATCACACAGCTGTTCTTCCAGCCTTGCTCTTTCAGTTGACTTGCTTTCCTCCATCCCTGCCTACTCCCCACCTTCTCATAATCATTACCAAACTATGTGCTTGTGATGTCATGAGCACAGGATTATTATTTACTTCTTAAGTCAGGAGATTGTAGTATTTCTGAGCTGGGAGGCAGGGGTAGAAAAGTCAGTGATCCTAATTTATACAGTTTAGTTCAGGATTATTTTCAACTGTGTTTTTTAGGATTGTGTCTTATCTCTTTATTTCCTCTAAGGAATAGTTTTGGATAGGAGAAATTACTAAACTGTTATTTTTAGTGACCTGCTATGAGTTTAGTTCTATGCTAGGAGCTATGGAGGATTAGGAAAAATGACAATTTTGTGCCCTTGAAGAATTTACTGTCCAGTTAGGAGTAAGGAGAATAGGAAGGAGTGAATACCTATTGAGACTCTATTATGCCAGATGAATAAAATTTGGAAATGTGAAAGTCTATTAGCAGTTGCATAGTACAGACCTCATACCATAGATATTTTGAGAGAAGAGTAGTCAGGTAGTTATGAATGATGTCACAGAGGAATTGTAACTTATTCCAGATCTTGAAAAAGATATCAAATTGTATTAGGTACAAGGGATGAGGATGAAGCAAATAAAAAAATCGTTTCACTTTGGAGCTGAGAGGGATCAAGCAAAAGCCTGGAAACAGGACTGTCCCTGGTATGTTCTGGGGCAGTGGTGAACTGACCGAGTAGCCGTGAGTAGTGGTGACTTGAAGGTTAGGCGGGGTCTCAAAAGCCAGTTATAAGTTTAGATTGTAAATCATAGAAAGGAGGGAACCACTGAGAATTTTTGATTAGGATAATAATATGATGATAGTGGGAAACAGATTGGCTTGGAGGGAAGGGAGATTGGCACCTGGGGCGTGTGAGGTGATGAGCCCTGAGCTAAGGTTGTGGAGGGTGAGATAAGGAGAGGAAAGAGTAAGAAACAGATTGTAAAGGAGGAATTGAAATCAGCGAGGACTGGATGTGGAAGATGAAGGAGAGTGATCAAGTATGACTATGACATCTTAAGCCTGGGTTTCTGAGACATTGACTGAGATGAAGAAGTTAGAAGTTTTCCTCATTTTTTAGGGGCACATGATGAGTTCAATTTGAGATGTATTGGATTTAAAGTGGCAATGGAATGACCAAGTGAAAGCTGTTCCAGTTGTTAGAGATGAGCCTAAAGCTGGCATCGAGGTAGGGGTTAATATGTCTGGAAGTGCGGTTTTGTAGTTCATCAGCATAGATGTGGTAGCTGTAGCCAAGAGAATGAATAAGCTCTCTGAAGACTAGAGTTTACGGAAAGAGCAGAAGGCCAAAGATAGTGGTATTGATAAATACTAACTATTCTCTACTCTTCAGGCCATCTTACTTGAGTTCTTCCTTCTTTCCTCTTTTCTGTTCCTCTGCTCCCTACTCCATCAAATATTCATTGAACGCCTCTTATCTTGTAAGCACTGTCTTAGGCACTGAGGAAACAGATGAGTCAGACAAAGTCTTACCTACAAGGAGTTTATGAGTCTAGTGGAAGGAGACAGATGTGTAAGTATGTAGATAGAATGAAGTGTGATAGATGCTGCAATAGAAATATGTAAGGGGCCTAAAGATCAAGTCTGCCTTGGACATACAGGGGTTGGGAAGTGCCGCCCAGAGGAGATGACAGCTGAGCCGAGTCTTGAAAGATGAATTAAGGATGTACCCTGCCGATGACAGGGAGAAGAACAGTCCGGGCTGAGAAAACAGCATGAGCAAAAGCCTAAAGGAATGCAACAGCCAGGCTTCTTCAGGTAACTTTTAAGTAACCAATATTGCTGGAGGACAGCGTTGGAGGGCAGGGATGAGTCTGGAGAAGTAGGTAAGGCCGATCCTGGACAGCTTTATCTTGTGCTGCAGTAAATAAGGAGCTGTTTAAGCATCGGTGATAAAGTAAGTTTCATGTTCTAGAAAGATTATTTTGTCAGTGGTGTATAGGGTGGATTAGAGAGGAACAAAGCAAAAAGCTTTTTAAATAACTTTATTATACTCGACCAGTAACACATTTGTTGTTGAGTGACCATCTTTGTAGAATCATGGAAGCAGAGAGCTAGAGGGACTGTTATTATGCTTAGTTTCTCACATTCATTTTCACATGGAATACCTGAGATTTACTCAGGATCACAGAAGTAGTTTAGTGATAGCTTGGTTTGGAATTCAGTCTTCAGTGGCTGTAATGTGGTAGGTGATTAATAAATGTTAGCTCGCCGCTCTAATTCCCTCACAAGTCCCGTTCCAGTATTTGTTACATTCTGCCACGTTCCATCATGCTGGAAGACAGAGGAACTTCTGTCCTTCCATTCCTTTTTCCCAGGTCTGTCTGAGGAAGATCTGCCCTGAGAGAACCTTGAGGAAAAGGGACTTTTGACCTGGGGCAGTTGGGTGCCCTGGAGTGGAGTAAATACGCTGTTAGGATTAGTCAGCTGTAATGATTCAGATGTAAAAGAATGTCAAGGTACTTGTTTTATGGAGTGTGCAGATGTATTTATCTCTCCTGCTAAGTTTCCATCAAGTTGTTTTCTTTTAAACTTAGATTGAAGTTGTGCCAATGAAACTTTGGTAAAAGAAGCTATGATAAATTGGGCACCAACAAAAATGTATTTACCTAAAAAAACAAGATTTGTCATTATACTTGGATTCTAAATCTTTCTTGGGAGTGTTTTTAATTTCACTGGATTTTTGTGAAGGGAAATTGTTTGGGTTTAAATTGCTAAGTGAGAGTTTGGATTTTTTGTTTTACTCATTTTTGCTGGAGAAGAGCAGAAAAAGAGGATAGATGACATGTTAGAGGTCCTTAGATTCCCCTGGGGAGAGCTGGGACACAAGGGGATGTGGAAGGATGGACACCTTCCATTGATAAGTCTTCCTCAGAACTGAGTTGTGATTTCTTTACTCTTGTAACTGGGTTTGTGAACATCTCCAGAAAAGGGCCTTAGTTTGGAAACTGTCCACTTTAGCAGAGCTGCCAATTCTTAATTCTTTCTCAAGTGGGCAAGGGTACATTTTGTTTTTGTTTGTGAGTGTTTGGGAAGAAGGGGGAGAGAAGAGGCACAGACTAGCTACTCACAGTGAGTCTTTATCTGAGTTCCTGTGTAACTGGAAGTTTCCTTGGCTTTCTTTTTGGAGAGATGACTTGGTTACCCTGGCATTTATGTTATGTGGGAAGGTGGTTCTCACTCCCCTCAGATATCTGATTTAGGATGGTGATAAAAACTTCCTTCTTGTCCGTATTTGTCCGCCCCCCGCCACTCTGTTCTAAGTCCATTTTGTGCACGTTATGTGAAGAATATGAAGGATCTTCTTGAGTCTAAAACTGAGCTAATCAAGTGTTCCCTTAAAGTTTAGGTGAACCATCCTGCTCCTGACGACCGTTGTTTTACTGACTCCACTGTTCTTCCAGTCACTTGGCTCTTTCTTAATTTTATAATTTTGAATAATGAGGTACTTTAAATATTGAGAAAAGTTCAAGGAAGAAACCCTAACACAGTCTTGAGCCCACAACCGAAATTTAATGGATATTGACATTTTTGTCATATTTATTTTAGATCTCTCACTCTCTTTAAGATCTAAAATGTTAGCTATAGCTAAAGTCTTACTCTGCATCCTTTCCCCCTTCCTCTTTCTTGGGAATTGACTACTGGCCTGTTTGGTATATATCATTCCATTTCATGTTTTATATATATATTTTTTTACATATTATGTATACACAAACGACATGCAGTTTTGTTTTGAAATCTTACATAAATAGAATCATACTGTATGTATCCTTTTGCAACTTTTTCTCTCAACATTGTTTTTCAGATGTGTCTATATGTAGATCTAGTTCATTTAATCGCTTAATCTTTAAGCCTGTTTCCTCCGTTGCCCTCCCTGCTTGCCCTGTTAAAAAATGCTACCGAGGGGCCGGCCCCATGGCCCAGTGGTTAAGTTCTCGCGCTCTGCTCCCGCAGCCCAGGGTTGCACTGGTTCAGATCCTGGGTGCGGACATGGCACAGCTCATCAGGCCTTGCTGAGGCGGTGTCCCACATGCCACAACTAGAAGGACCCACAACTAAAATATGCAACTATGTATTTGGGGAGAAAAAGCAGAAAAAAAAAAAAACCCAAAAGCCAAGATTGGCAACAGTTGTTAGCTCAGGTGCCAATCTTTAAAAAAAACAAAAAAAATCCTACCCATCAAAGTCCCCGTTTAAACCATATCTTCCACGAAAACTTTCCTGATTTTTTTTTTTCTTCAGCAGGATATGATCTTTCCCACTTCTGAATCCTCCCATCATCTTTTTGGTACTTGTCTGGTGGTAGTTGTATATTCTTGTATTTTAGTTCCTTTGTACCTTTGACGGGCCTTCTACTACACTGCAAGGTCCTTGAAAGGCAGATAAGTAGTCTCTTTTATCTTTGTATCCTTCTTGGGCTTTGCCACAATAACCTACACATAGTAGGCATTTAGTAACTGTTAGTGACTAAGTGGTTCATCAATGAGTAAAAAAATAAAGACAATCCTTTGCGTTGATGAACTGTTAATTTTGAGCATTATAGTGGCCCCCATAAGAAATAAAGCTTATAAAGAAACATTCAGCACTGGAAATTACATAAAAATGCATAATGGTGAGAGCAGTCAAGAGTAACTTCCTGCAGGAGATGAGAACAAACATTCCCTGAGAAATGAAATGGGAATTGATTGGTGATATCATCCCAATGAGGAAACTCCTGGGAATTGATCCTGATGGCGTTTGAGGCAGTGTGTTCCTGTGGCCAGACTCATTTCACCAGCTATCAAATTCTGCTCTTGTCATCAAGGTCTTGACACCTTCACTGGAGATGGGATATTGGCATTGAGAAAAAGCAGCCAA